TTTTGCCAACTCACAGAGTTCACAGCTGAGTGAAATGAATGATTACTTTTTTCCTTTGGTAGCATGCATAGCACCTTCCAGGAGCATGAAAGCTAGCCAGTAGGAATGAAGCTTTCAGGCTAGTACCCACTTAATTTCTCCTTGTTTTATGACTCAAGTATGTGTCATCTTTAGCAATAGGGTCTTACCACAAAGTTCTGGAGGATAACCAAGAGCAATGACAATAGCCTATAATGTTTGGGTGTTGATGGGATCCCCCTAGCCAACTCAAAAAACAGCAACCCATTCCTGATACTGGGGGTTTCATTTGCTAAGATGAAGTGTCTAGTTGGGTATTGTCCACCTGTTATGGGGTAGCTCCATTTTCTCTCTTTCTATATATGTACATGTATATATTTTTAAAAGCTTCTACAGTAGTCTCCATATAATTTTTCAGTGTTAGTTACCTCTGCCTATGCTCCCTCCTCTACCCTATCCACCTATCCCCCATCCCATGTAATCCTTCCTGTGTCATTATTTTCTTTCCCCCCTTTATATCACTGTATTCTATCTAACTTCCCTTGAAGTATCTGCCCCCCATGGATGGCCCACATGCTGGTTTCCTAATCTCTAGGGGTATTCCAAATGAAACCCACAAATCTAAAGATTCAAAGCTAACACCCACTTATGAGAGAAAACATGCAGTGTTTGCCTTCCCTGGTCTTGGATACCTCGCCCAAGATGATTCTTTCCAATTCCATCCATTTACCTGCAAATTTCATTATTCTAAATAGCTGGAAAACATTCTATTATATAAAAGTACCACATTTTTTCTTATCCATCCATCAGTTAACAGACATCTAGACTCTCTCCATCTCCTTGCTATTATGAGTTAGAACAGCAATGCCATGTATGAGCAAATACCTATGCAGTAGGATATGCAGTTTTCTGTGTATGTATCCAAAGATGGTATAGCTGGATGTTATGGTAGAACTGTTTCTATCTTTTTGAGAAATCTTCATACTGATTCCATAATAGCTGCACTAGTTTGCACTAGTTTGATTGAGGTAAGATGAGATCTGAAAGTAGTTTTTTCATTTCCCTGATGGCTATAAATGTCGAAAGGTTTTAGGTGTTTCTCCGTTATTTGTATTTATTTCTTACTTTAATAACTCACTGTTTAGGTCTATGCCCCTAATTATAAACTGGGTTGTCATTGATTTATTGTTGTCGTTTACATTTAGTATCTTGAGTTCTTTGTATATTCCAGATATTAACCTTCTGTCAGACATATAACTGGTAAAGATTTTTTTCTAGCCTATATACTACCTCTTTATTCAAATGATGTTGTCCTTCGCTGTGCAGAAGCTTTTTAGTTTCATGGGGTCCTCTTCAGAAAGTCCTTTCTTGTGCCTCTAAGTTCCAGTGTATTCCTTACTTTCTTCTGTATCATATTCAGAGTATGACTTGCTTTGTGTCATAATATTTGGTTAATTTTGAGAAAGTTCCATGGACTACTGAAAAAGTAAAGTATGTTCTTTAGTATTTGTGTGCAATGTTCTGTAGATGTTAGATCATTTTATTTATGACGTTATTTAATTTCAGAGTTTTTCTGTTTAGTTTTTATCTGGAAGACTTGTCGATGGGTGACCGTGGGGTATTGAAGTCACCCACTATCACTGTGCTGGGATCAATCTGTGGTTTCTAGTATTGTTTCTTTTATGATAGATGTCCCTGTGTTTGGTGCATAAATGTTTTTAGAATTATAATATTCTCTTGATGAATTTTAATGGGCATAAAATGTTCTTCCTTATCTCTTATGATTAGTTTTAATTTGAAGTCTATTCTGTCAGATATCAGAAGAGCACAGTCCACTTGTTTCCTATTCCATTTGCTTGGAGTACCTTCTCTACCCTTTTACTTGAAGATGGAGCCTGTCTTTGATGGTGAGCTGTGTTTCTTGGAGGCAGCAAAAAGATAAATCCTATTTCTTAATCTGATCTGTTAGTCTTTGTCTTTTTATTGAGGAATTGAGAATGTTAATATTGAGAGTTATTTTTACCAGTGTTCATTAGTTCCTGTTATTATATTGTGGTGGTATTTTCTTAGAACGCTTTTTTGTTAACTGTTTTGGAATTGCTTATTCTTTATGCCATTTTGGGTGTGTTTAATTTTCTCTTCAGAGCAAAGTGTTCTTTCTAGTGTGCTCCGAAGAGCCAGATTAGTGGACATAAATTCTCCTAAACGTATGATTTGTAAGTTTAGTCTTTATATAGTGTCCCAGAATTCCTGCATGTTCCATTCCTGGGTTACTTTAGATTTAACATTTTCTTTGACTGTGTGATCTATTCCCTCTACCTTGTCTTGGAGACCTGATAGTCTCTCTTCTGCTTCATCCAGCCTCTCCTTGAAGCTCTCCTCTGAGCTTTTTGTCTGACTTCTTGAGTTTTTCATTTCGAGTTTTATTTCAATTTGGTTTTACTTCAGACTCTCTTTTTATTAAATTCTAATTTTATATCTAAAATTGTTTTACTTATTTAATTCAACTGTGTTTTCTCAGTCCTCATTCAGTCTTTTATTCATCTCCTCTGAGTTCCTTGAATATTTTTATAATCGCTATTTTGAAATCATGTCTTGTGTATCAGCTAAGTTGCTTTTCTCTGGAAACATGATGGGATGTTGATTTCTGAAGGGGACATACTATCTTGATTATTCCTGTAGTTTGTGTTTCTGCAATGGGACCTAGGCATCTGTAGTTATTATTGTTGATGGTATTTGTTGATATGATTATCTCATATCACCTTTGTTGAGTAAGCATTTGTATCTGTTTTCTATTACCCAAACTTGTCAGATTGTGGACCAGCTGAGTGGTTGGTTTTCAGCCTTGGAGCCTGGGAGGGCCACATCTTTAATTTTTGAAATAAGCTTCCTGTGTATATTTGAAGTGGCTTCTCCTTAACCAGGTGACCTTGCTTTACTCCTGCTCCTCTATGGGCATTGTCTTGTCATGGTTGTTTCACCTTTCTGAAGGAGGGGTCGGTCCTGCAAAGATTCTGATGTGCGCATGTGGCCATCATTTCTTCTTCCTTAAAATAAACTCTCCTTTCTTGGTAGGGAATGGGTGGTGGACATGCTGTGTGACTGAGACATACTTCCGCCTGTAACTGCTGAATGAGATCATTTGAGCAAGAAAATGAGAGTCAGGCAGCCTGGGGTCAGATCCAAATTTAGCTACTCCCCAGCCATGTGATGTAATCTCTCTCAGCCAGTGTCCTCCCAAGCAAACAGAATGCAGAAGCAAGATCAAACTCTGGATGTTCCCACCTGTGTAGGCTAAAATCTTGGTGGAATTAAGATGGGCATGAGGGCTCATTCTTTAAAATGCACCAGATTGTTAATTGTACAACATTCCATGTCAGTGGTTAAGTGTTTGCAGATATCCAGGTATAGTAACACCCTATGAGAAGTATTTTTACATTTCTTTTGAAGCTTTTCTAATGGCTTCAAAGAAGAATGAAGAATCCCATATAATCAGCACAGCTTTCCTAACTTCTGCCTTGCATAATAAAGAGAAGATAGAAGACAGAAGAGGAAGAAAGGGAGAAATGAAAGGAAGAAATAAGGAACCAGAACCGGGAGGGAGGGAGGGAAGGAAAGTGAGAGAAAGGAGAGAGAGGAAAATAAAGCAATTATCTTCTAGTGATATGCTGTTTGCTACTCAGTTTCACTGCATTTTCTTTTTTTTGGTTCTGCTTTGTTTTGTTTTCTGAGACAGGATCCCGCTATATAGCACTGACTAGCCTGGAACTCAGTATGTAGACCAGGCTGGCCTCGAACTCACAGAAATCTGTCTCTGTCTCCCAAGTGCTAGGATTAAAGGTGTGCACTACCATGCCTGGTTTCACTGTATTATTATAAGCAGAAATATACATATAAAATATAAAATAAATATTCATTTGAAATAAAATATGCAAAAATAATCTATATAAACTTAGTTGTGACTTTCATTGTGGTTTCAGTGTATTCCTTGGAAATGTCTTTATTCAGTGTTTTTCTCTTTAAGTTGTTGTTTTTGTATAGGTAGTTCCCCACAAAATGTTTTCAAGCTAATTTTATCCTAATTTTTAAGAAAATCTCATCTGTAAAAGCATTCTGATGTTAAATTAGGCATCTAGTATAGTAAGCAGCTTTATTAAGATACTTTTACAGACTCAACAGTAAATATTACCACTTCAGCAAGCTAAAATCTGAGCATCAATATTGGATGAAGTTGTCAAGCATAATGTGAGTTATAGATTTATAACCCACTGAACCAAGTAATGGGTTTGCAATTAGCAGCACAGTCAAAGGATTTAATGAAAACCAGAGCTATTTCTGTGATCAGATGAGTGATTATTCCAAATGTTTTTCCTAAGGACAAAGTGTGCTCCTCTGAACAGGACAAGAGCCACTCTAAAATGAAAGTCCATCTCACTTGGATGCATTTGATTGGAAAACACTCACCAGGGGTCAGTTCCCGCTCCAGCTGGTAGAGTGCTAGCCGACCGTGATATGTCATCACCAGATTCTATTCAAGGATTAATGGCTCCGAAGAACAAGATGCCTCACTAAGTCTTCCTGTAATATCATCCCCAAGTGTAACCCATCCTATCATTCCAGGCCCCTTTACACACTAAGGAGCAGAGAGTGGCTTTTCACAAGTTACAGAGCACATGGGTAATCCAGTGCATGTTCTAAATCACCTCTCTTGGTTCAGTCCAAGTCATAGCACTCATGAGAAACTGCCAAAACAGAAGCTCGCTACTCCGGCCAGGCAGGGGAGGGAGAGACAGGATTTGTTTAGAGCCATCTCTCACCACTAGGGAAGGCTACAATGTCCCTGGAAAGATATGGTCTGATTCTGCTACTAATTTGGCTCAAATGACCTTGAACGGCTGAGAGAGTTCTGTAACTCCCTCCACTCCATATATAAGGAGCTCCAACTATGAGATTTCACAATAGTGCCCTGGCCTTCCCAAAGCAGAGCTGAGGAGGCAGGAGCCAGGGCCAGGATATTCGCCCTTCTTTGCACCCTAACAGGATACCAGCAGGATATCACCTGCAATTCATCTCTAAGGTAAGGTGTGTTGTGTTGTCAGGTGTGAGAATAGCCCACCATATAGCTAGCTAGGAATGGTTTAGAGGAATAGAGTTTGGGTTGTTTTGTTTTGTGTTTTTTGTTTTTTTTTTCCTCTCTGATTTTTTTCCTTTTTTCCCTAAATGTTAGTTATGCAAGAATTTCAAGTAGAAGAGGGTGAAAACGCCAAGAATTGGTGTCAATCTCACTGAGTGAGACTGTGAAGATTAACCAAACTAAGGAATATATCTCATGTTGATTGATGGCTAATTTAGTCCCAAGAAATGTTTGCTAGAGGTGCCAGACCACAGAAGCTCCGCTGAAACTGATGGAGAGGATTAGTCATTCATTTGAAGTTTTTACTTGACTGAGTAACCTGGCACTTCAAAAATTAAGCTGTAGAATTTCACTTTGTTTTAGTTTTAGAATTGACTATTCTGTGTTCCCTCATTAGAGAGATGTGACTGCACAAATCCACAAAGCCAACTTGCAACTAGCACTACTTGAGTAAATGGATATTTAATGCAAAATTTGCATCTAAGACTGAGTTCTAGGACTCTTCAAGTATAAGTTGACCATTGAGACCACATCAAGAATCACTACTAGAAGCCTAGCCCAGTGGCTCATGCCTCTAATCTGGGTACTTGGGAGGTAGAGGCAGGAAGGCAGGAGTTCAAGGTCACCCTCATCTACATTATAAGTTTGAGATTAGCCTGGGCTACTTGAGATACTGTTGTTGTTGTTGTTTTTAAAGGATCGCAGTGAAATAAAACTTTTCCAAATTAGTAATGATTTACTGAAAATAGAACTAAATCCCTCAATGCATGTGAAAGCTAGTAAGAGTGACTTTTGTAGCAGGCGAGGTACAGAGAAATGAGAGCAGCTCCTTTTGTTAAAGCCAGTGTGGGTATTTCTATTTGCCCTTTCCACGTGTGCAAAGCAGCCGAATGTCCTCATTTGGAAGTGAAGAAACAATGGTGAAGTTCAGACTCTCCCCTAGAACTAAATGTTGGTGATGTTCCCAACTATTCAAGTCAGGGGAACCTCAGGGGACCCACACACGGCCGCCTCAATTCATATATGAGGAGACTGAAGTAGCTTTTCCAAAATTTAAAAGAAGCTTTCTAAGCTTGGGAGGCAGAGGCAGGTGGATCTCTGTGAGTTCAAGGCCAGCCTGGTCTACATAGTGAGTTCCAGGACAGCTGGGGCTACAGGGAGACCCTGTCTCAAAAAAATAAATAAATAAATAAATAAATAAATAAATAAATAAATAAATGAATAAATACCATTTAAACATAAATTTAAAAACTAACATGGGCTATGGGTGAAGTTCAGTTGGTAGAGTGCCCGCCTAGCATGCACAAGAGTCTGGGTTTGATCCTCAGCATCGGAACGAAGGAAGGGAAGGAGGGAGGAAGGCAGGGAGGGACAGAGGGAGGCGGGGGGAATATTAATAGCAATACGGTAACCATAGGCCTTTTTGCTTTTCTTATTTCAAATATTTCATTCAAAAAAATAGGAGAAATGAGGATTATATTTGACCATTCAGAATACCTGTCTTCTGTTAGAACTTAGAATATTCTTTTTTACTTACATAAGATTGTGTATCTTTCTTATTAGCATAAATATGAAAGATAGTTAACATCTATGCTTACCAGTTCAAATGATGATTGCCCCTTCTTATGGGCACAAAATAATTAAACTGTGACACATGCTGATCACCAGTTGAGGAACACTCCCTGATTCACTTATTTATTTATTCAATAGATGTGCTAACTGTGCCAGAGTGGCGCATTCTGGTGCATTCTCCTCGGTGTAAGATTTGTGCTTCTGTCTTTCCATTAAGGGGCATGTACAGGAGCAGCCTGCTCTTTTCTGCCCAGGAAGGAGCTGGAAGTACCTCTATACAAGAGATGCTTCCAAGACAACAATACTTTCAACATTCATGTAACTACAGAGGGCAATTCAGTTATACAGTAAACATTTCATGACTTATAGTACTTTATGCTTCAGATAAACATATAACCCACTGAGAGGTTTTCTTGAGATTTTCTTTTTTGCAGTATTCCCAAACAGGAATTAATTTAAATATCCTCAATACAGAAATGATTAAATAAGTTATGGCATATCAATCAACAGTTTACTGAAAGGTTGTGGAAGCAACATGTTAGAAAGTGCTTTAAGCGAGACAAGCCAAACCCCATATATGCTTTGGTCCTGCTTAGAAAAAAGAATACACACATATACATGAATCTGCATGCTTTCATTAGAATGGAATAAATAAGGCATTGTTAGCCATAGATATCATTGAGAAGTGCTGTTGACCCCAGGGAGACAAGAGGGGAAGGGCTACTATAATTAGTTGAAATATTTTACCATATGCATGCAACTTTTACCTTTTAAAAAATAGTCTTAAAAGGACATCTTTATGAAATTCATAATCCTTTGAGCAAGCCATTCTAAAGATTTTCAACAAGAATGATTGAATAAGTTATGGCATACAACTTTCACACACATCCACACACAACCTCAGGGACTAGCACAAACAGAAAAAAAATAGGTGTGGGTAATGCCCTAAAAACGGCCTCTGGGGCTAGGGGAGGGGCAACTAGTACTGCTGGTAGTCTTGTGGTTCTTTCCTTATGTCTTTTCCTCCTACGTAGCCCCAATGAGTGTGAGTGTATTGTCCCTGGGATGGCTTATGTTGTTTCCTTTGCCCTCTGACACCTTCCTGAATCTGTCAGTTGCATTTAGCTTCTCCTGCCTCTCTTGAGCCTCGTGAGGTTTCTAAGGAATCCCTCTGTTTTGATTAGAATCATCCATCCAGTTTGTTCGGAAAGCCTGGCCTGTGACTTGGTGTGGCATGAAGGTCACTACACAGACTTTCTTCCAGATCTCCATATTCATCCATATTCATTCTCCTTCCAGATCTCCATATTTATACATATTCATTCTCTCTCTCTCTCTCTCTCTCTCTCTCTCTCTCTCTCTCTCTCTCTCTGCTCTGCTCTGCTCTGCTCTGCTCTGTGTGTCTCCTGTCTCTGTCTCTTCCTGTATGTATGCATGCATATGTATAATATGTGTATGTATAATGTGTGTAGTGTGTGTGTACCTGTGTGTGTACAGAGGCAAATGGATGATGTCAGGTACCCTGCTCCATCACTTTTCACTTTATTCCCTTTAGAAAGTGTGTATCACTAATCCTGAACCTCTCTGTATTAGGTTAGGCTGGGTGGCCAGTGACCACCCAGGATCCACCTGCCTTGGTCTCTCAATGCTGGGGTTACAGACACACTCAGCCATGCCCAACTTCTACCTGGGTAATGGGGATTCAAACTCAGGTCCTCATACTTGTGCAGCAAGTACCCTTGCCCACTGAGCCATCTCCCTGGCCCCCACTTTGTTTGTTTGTTTCACCTGAGTTCTGTGGATGGAATTCGTGTCTTCATGCTTGCAAGATAAGCACTTTACCCACTGAGCCATCTCCTCAGCCTCCTGATACTTCATTTTCTACAAGAAAAATATTGAGATCAGAGTAACTAGCGCCCACCATCTTAGAAAAGATATGGCATTGATTAGTGACAGCCAAAAGGACACAGGCTGGCAGTCTGGAGAAACGAAGTGAGAGTTAAAACCAGTATATTTCTTTTAGAAGAACAAGCAAGTTTTAAGAAATGAAAAGCATATGAGCAGATTCCCAGGAGCTTGTAAGATTCTGTTTCCATATGGTTATGCACCTCCTCCCTGGCTCTTACAATCTTTCCACCCCCTCTTCCGAGATGGTCCCTGAGACTCGGGTGGATGAAGTTTAATAAATGAGTCCTGTCCAAGGACCATCATTCAGCAGAGTCTTGATCTCTATGCTTTGGCCATTTGTGACCTTTTGTGTTCCTGGCCCTCTGCTGCATGAGGGAGCTTTGTTATTGAGAACCGAGAGATTCATTAGTGTCTTCTTCTTTACTCCTGTTCCATGTTCCATGAGCCTTAGGTTGCATTGTAGATGTGTCATTTAGGTCTGGGCAATTCACAGACAGAGTCCTACAAGCTCCTGAGAACCTGCTCATATAATTCTATGGCCATGGTATCAGCATACACAAGTCCCACACAAACTTGGGCAGACAAAAACCCAGCATAGAACTGGAAAAATGAGCAGCAGACACCAATCTTATCTGAAGAAATATTGACAACTGATTGCTGCTAGGTGAAAAAGACCTGATCTCCCTAAAACAAGGGACTCTAGATAGGCTGACTAGACCTCAGTGGATGGACTTACACTTGGGACCATCTGGGGACACTGATGATACAGTGGGCCTTAACAGGGATGACAGAGTATATGGGCTAGGGGGGGGCGGGGGGGGCTATGTGAGTGTGCCAGTGGGGAATGGAGGTATAAAAATCATTAAGATTGTTTGAGATGTTCTGTATAAAATATACAAAAAAATTCAATAAAAACAAATTTTTAAAAAAAGAAATGGAAAGCAGCTCGCTGAAGCAGGGAGGGAACTGGAAAGGGAGCTGGCAAATCTGCAGTGAATTTTATTAGCAATTTTTTAATTTACTTATTTACTAGTTTTTCACTGGAGAATATACAGTTTTCAAGAGAAAGGCTTAGTTTTAGCTGAAAAGTCTTTGCAGAAGTCTGAGCAGGTAACTACCATGGCTGTGAGGACCTGACAGGATCTCCACATGGAGACACAGTGAAGATCACAGGGTTAAGCAAGCTCCTATCCCACAGTACGTGAATCTAATTGAAGATATGAGGAGCAAAGCCAGGTTGAGTGATGACTTGGCTTCTGATCTCAACTCACCGAGGCCATAGCACAAGAAGCTGGTGGCCTCCTGGGTCCTTTGCATTCCTAATTATGTGAGGAAATATCAAACTTTGATGGGCCCAGTATAAATTGATAGTAGTGAGCTATGGCCTGGGGCAACAAGGGCCCTGAGCCATGGAGGTTGAACTCTCCTAGTATGTGTGGTGTTTCATTTGCACTTGTATGCAC